ATTTTTAATGACAGAATATGAGAAAAAGATACCTCAAGCGTATCATCATCGACTATCCTGAGGCCTTCAGCCACTTTTTCCTGTTTGCAGATGGACCCTATTCACACGCTTCAGCCATAAACCACTGCAGTTTATTCCCATTTCAAAAACAACTACTTGTTCTACAACATGGCCTATTAAACAAAAGCATCTGATGGTTGACCAATCTTCAGATATGATTGCTGGCGTGCCTACATCGCTACATCAATGGAGATTCAAATCAATGTGACCAAAATTCAGATATAGGTTCTGAACTGATGATCAGCTGCCATTTTAGGCCCCGAGGGTTCACAAATATGATAGAACCTCCTTAACTGTCGAACTGTTTATGCCTTAAAAATGTCATTTATTTGATTTTTGTGCGTACGTTGTGTGTTGTGATTTCTGGTTTTGTTTTTTTTCATAAATGTAAACTTGGATTTGTCGAATGATGAAAGCATTATAGGATTCTCAGAATTTCTCCGTATTATAAAAAAAAAAGTGTCATATATACTACGTTGACTATACGTGGGGTAATGGATAGTGGCTCGGATTGAGGAATCGGAGAGCCAAGTTCGAATTCCAGTCGAATCCATTGCATTCACTTTCCTTCGGAAAGGCATGAATCCTCTTCTTCTCCTCCACGCCCACAGCTATGGGTAAATAGCAGAACAGACCGGGTTCTATATGACAACTGGTCTATATGACAACCTGGCTGTCTCGTCAGTCATGTATCGAAAGGAATCACACAACTGACTGATATATATATATATATATATATATATATATATGTATAAATATTTAAATAATATAGACAAGTTTTGTCTATTTATTTTAAAGAAATTCCTTTCATATTGTCTGATAAAGCAATAACATTATCGTTGAAAGACGAAAGGAAAACACCATATTGATACATGTTTACATCCAACCTAAGCTTTCGGCTTACATAAGCCATTATCAAAAATGAAAATTTCAATAAATCAAACAACACACAGAAGAAACAACAATGATAGTCCGCCCTAGCTCTTCAAGTAACGACAAACTCGTATATACGAGAGGCGGAAGATATATTACAATCAATCATTTATACAAAAAGTATTTTTTTTTTGCGAAGGATTTCGCCATTTATATCATTAACTTTACTAATTTACTTTTTGTGTGAATGATTCATTGTAATATAATTGAACTGCACCACGTATTTGATATATATATATATAGTGACTCCATTTTTACGTGGTTTATAGACCCGAGCCTACGGGCCGGATAAAAACTCGGCCTTGTGCCACATCTTGCTAATGTGGGGATAAATAATTATATATATATTACAGAGACGAAAATGCGTCATATATATATAACAATGAATGGTTAAATAATAAAAAGTGTTATGTACATAAGAAAATGAATATACGATATATATATATATATATATATATATATATATATATATATATAATAGTATAAAGAACAAGTAGGAAATAATGTTTCATTTTATTAAAGCTTCGACAAAAATCAAGATAGAAATGATAAAAAAAAGCAAAGAGACGAAGATTAATGTTATCGTTCGGCTGTTTCTTATTGGTTAGCATCCAGGATGTTTTCTTACACTTATTTAAATATTACCTGTTACTTCATGACACGTGACACCAATAATAAATTCCTGGACTGTTGATTAATTGCTTGGACTTAATTGTTATTGTAAGTAACTATATTGGTAGACCAGTTGTCATCCAAGGCTATAGAACCCGGTCTGTTCTGCTATTTACCCATAGCTGTGGGCGTGGTGGAGAAAAAGAGGATTCATGCCTTTCCGAAGGAAAGTGAATGCAATGGATTCGACTGGAATTCGAACTTGGTTCTCTGATTCCTCAATCCGAGCCACTATCCATTACTCCACGTATAGTCAACGTAGTATATATGACACTTCTTTTTTGTAATACGGAGAAATTCTGAGAATCCTATAATGCTTTATTGCAACCCTATATATATACATACATACATACATATATATATATATATATATATATATATATATATATATACCGGAACCTATTTGTAACATACTTGATGACAACACAAATATAATAGTATTAGCTACAAGCAAAAAAAGGCTAAAAATAATGGAAGCCTTATTAAAAAAAAAAACAAAACAAAAAAACACCCAGTAATATCAATTATGAACATGGACAAAATGTTTTGACCGTGTTTTGAAAATGAAAACATTATATAAATACATGCATACAACAAACTATTTCTTGTTAACAGATAATATATTTCAACCATGAAAATCGTTAAATGTATAGCCGAAAGCGCTAGGAGAAAAAGAACATTCGGACCGTTTTTATATAATTTGATCATCCGAAAAGGGAAAAATTATAAGATCGCATGAGAAATTGTATAAAAACTAAATCAAAGCACCTTGTCCGTCGTATCCAATGAAATGTGAATGAAAGAAGGATTGCTGCCTAAATGCACAATATATATATATATATATATATATATATATATATATATATATATATATATATATATATATTTCCAGTTGTGCTCAACATGCGAAGGCTCAGGAATAAACGCTCCTACTAGTATTCAAAACGTCATAAAAATAAAATACATCTTAACTATTCAAAACATGAAGAGAAACTAAGAACATCTAAAACAACCCCTTTTGAAAATGGCTAAAGAAGTGGCCGAAAGCGATTGGGACAATTACAATAAACATTATGGACAATTTTTGTACTCCTTCATTCCCACCAAACGGAAAAAAATAAGAACGCTGGTAAAACTAAATAGAAAATTAATTCAATTTTCCTTGTCTGCCATATTTAACTAAAGATGTTTAAAAGAAACATTATATATATATATATATATATATATATATATATATATATATATATACAGGGTGACCAAAAAAAAACAGGAATTTTTGAAGTGCGTATTGCTAGACATGAGCAAGTGCCTACACTGCGAGACAGTGACCTTGAGCAAGTAAACATTTCGCCATTTAGAATTCAAGATGAAATTCACAGTATCCCAGATGAGATGTTGCAGCAGTCAATGAGGAATCTCAACAGTAGATTTCAAGAATGCATTCGTACAGGAGGACGCCATCTACAGGACGTAATTTAAAAAAAATGAAAATTCCATCATTGTTTCTTAAATGGCATGTTTTAAGGTTGCAATTAATATGAATAAAATACTTTTCTTCCATCACTTGGTTTTATTGGATTGTTAAAAGTTCCCGTTTTTTTGGGTCACCCTATATATATATATATAAATAAATTCATGAATCATTCATACAATAAAACAAATAGAGAGGTTAATGATTTAAATGGCGAGAATACATCTTCGCAAACAATATCTAAAAGATACACCAACCCCGAACCTGTATATGAATGATATGATCCCTGTTTATAAATTCCAGTTGCATAAGGTCTTTTTTATTTTTACAAGCTTTCGTCTGTTCCTACAGACATCCTCAGGTATGAAAATAGATTTGTTCTTGTTTTTACTTCTCGGTAATAAGAGGACAACGAAAATAGAGATGTAATCCGAAAAAATGCTATGAGAAATCTGTTATTGTTTTGGAACGTGCGGTCGCAACGCTGAGTTTGAATTTTAAATTTTAAGGTTGTGCGTTTTTGTACAAATATAGTGTGCGTGTTACGTGTGCTGTCCTTTTTGCTTGCTGTATCTGTTGAAAGTATCGCCAGTCCGCAAGGTTCGAAGAAGGATGGTCCTTGCTAAGACCTGCAGGCTTCACGCGCTCGACGCCATTTTTAATCTTTGATTTGAGGAAGCGGTTGTATATACAGGCGACATCTGAGATTTCTGAACCAGTTTGGCGTTATGCATGACAACTACGCGGAAGTCACGATTTGACGAGGCTTTTTAAAAATACGGCTCCAGTTTTCAGGTTAACGAGAAGCCTGGAATTAACAGCGGTTAAAAACTAACAAAAAAGAAAAAAAAATAGGTAAAAGAAAAATCAAACACATGTGAATAAAATAAAATAAAACTAGTAAAACCAAATTACTTTAACCAGGAAAACCAAAAACTTAAAAATAAATCTGTTGTCTAAAGTTCATCGCTATCAGTCCAACGGAAAAACCGTTACCAAATAATCCGTTACTGATAGTTGAATAAGCCAGGACAAAGGTTGTCACTCAAAACCATGAATGGTGTCTATAAGAAAGCTTTGATTTGATGAGTCTAGTTAAGTATATTCTCGAGTTTTTAGGTAAATGTTTTGTTTTTGTAGCAATTTGCGGTGTTGGGTAAAACTATCTCTTCTCTCTTTCTTTTTATGTGCCATGCCTTTCAGGACGTAGGCGATCATGGCTCTCCACCTCCCTCTACCCCTTGTAGCTCTTAACAAGCTCCTTCCCTCTGTTTCCTCCCCCAGACCATTTTCTGTCATCCACTTGTTTAAGCCCGCCAGGTATCTCACACGTTGTTTTCCCTTGTTTTTATCTTTCCCTCTATTCGACCCGTGAGTATCAGATTCTCCAGGCCCTCCTTCCTCATTATGTCCCAGAAACGTCAGCTGCCTCTTCCTGATATTAAGTATAGCCCTCCTCTTTGTTTTCAACCTCTCTAAGATCTCATCATTGATCACACGTTCGGTACATGATATCCTCAGCATCCTTCTGTAGTTTTAACTGACCCATACACCGAGGTATGCTCTACGCTTATTACCTTGTGCCGAAAATAAGACAAGATTATTAAAAAAAACAACTTTCTTTGTAACATCGACTCGTCATGAAAATAATGTCTTCTCGTTCATTACAACTCTATTTTGACTTATTTATTTATTTTTTTGCTAAATCTCTTTCGTTAAGCAGTGTCAGCGCGCACACTTACGCATGCGCATTGGCATACGGAAAAAGAAGGAGAAATGAATAAATTGAAAACGTTCAGGACTTGACTGACCCCTGTCGTACGTTGTCGTAAATGGATTGAGTGTCACTAGCAATTTGGTTCAGAGTTGCTAATTTCTTGCGAATAATCGGCTTTCTTTTTCCTTCCCCTCTCCTTTTCATCACCAAAGTGCACTCGTGCGAAACGAACGACTCATTGGATGGCCACACCCTTTCCAATTAGCAGCACGACCCTAATTATTTGTCCGGTTCTAAACTGGTTGACGGTCAGTCCAACTGATTTTAATGACGAAAAATTTCCCACTTTCCCTGTTTTCGACTGTTTTTTTTTCTCTTTTATTTTATTTCAGTTTTTTTTTTTTTTTTTTGGGAGGGGGGATTGAGGTGACTGATTTGTTTTTTTTTTTTACGGTTTATCAACCCTTTGTCCGTTATTTAAACCCGAAACATATTTGGGATTGGAAGAATAATTAGTTTTTTTTTTTCGAGTGGTTATTACATTAACAATTTTATGAGGTTAAATAATGATTATCCCACATACAAATCCTACTATTTAACCCAGAGCTGGGGTGCTGAGTGGGAAAGGTTTCTTAGTTAGCCCGATGTTTTCTATCAATTTTTAACTACTTCTATTTGTCGTCGCTCTTCAGAACGTAGGCAACCATGGCTCTCCACTACCTCCTCTCCCTTGCAGCTCTCGTAATATTCCTACTATTCCTTCTACCCCCAGTTCTGCTTTCCATTCACATAAGCTCGTCAGGTGGGTGACCCGTTTTCCCCCTCCTCGTGTCCATTTTTCCCTTCGATCTGTTCTATGAGTGTCAAATTCTTCAATCTCTCCTTCTCCATTACTTATCCAAGAAATTTTAGATGCCACTTTCTGATTTTAAGTAAAAAGCCTCCTTTCTGTTTAAGAAGTCCTCGTTGCTTACGCGCCTCATCCATGTCATTCTCAGCATCCTTCTGTAGAACTAGATCTCTGTTACTACCAGCTTTCTTTTCATCTGTGAGGAAATTGTCCAGTATTCACTTCCTCATGTAATAATTCTCAACTATTAAACAAAAAGCGCCAGAATTGGCAATTAGGATTTTAAATTGAAGCATACTTTAGAAATTACTAACTTAAAAACCGCACCCCGTGCGCTCTTTGAAGTTAGCTGCTGTAGAGGGACTAATTCGGCCTCTGGCGCAAAACTAAAGAGGCCACTAGTTCAGCTTAGAAAACAGCAATGATAACTTTGAAGAAATAAATTTGAATTCCTCAATTCACTCCATGGAACTTCAAAACATCCTACATAATTCATGTCCAGAAACGAAGAAAACATTAAGAACATTAAAAGAAAAAAATTAACCGTAGAACCTTGTCAGTCGTATTTAATGAAACTTGTATAAAAGAGGGATTGCTGCCCGAATATATATGATCCTTAACCCCTCCTCCTCACTATTAAGTATTGTAATAAAAATAAATTTGAAACCCCCCCTTCCCTCTCTAAACTCGACCATGTCTCTCACATTATTTCTCACCACCTTCTATATCAACTTATATAAGCTTAATACTGCCCGTCAAAAGTGTAAAGTTTAAATTCATTTTTCGTTTCAGCTTTGAAAATGAAGTCTGAAGATCCAGAGAAAAATAAAATTCTCTGGTGAAATAAATTATAACTAATGAAGCCTTAAAGTGGTCTGTTTTTCTTTATATATATATATATATATATATATGTGTGTGTGTGTGTGTGTGTGTGTGTGTTTTGAACAATAGAAAATGTTAAAAAATTAAAATTTCAGACACACTGGGTTATATATTAATATTTTTTGTTTTATTATATAAATTAGGTTCCTCGACTAGTTTCGGCCAGCATGCCCCCATCATCAGGTGACAAAAAATCCATGCTTGTTAGTAGCAGTAAATTACAGGAGTGAATGACTGTCTTTGAAGAAGGTTAATTTTGAAGTTTTCATTTGTTTTTATCGTAACCTTTAGTCAATCTTTGTATTGGTTAAACGGCCTCTTTCAAGTTTTTTAAAAATAGAGGCTGGGAGATTTCTGAGTCCCAGAATTCCATCCTTAGTCATTTTGACTGCTTTAATGGTTGCTGAGAAGAGGATGTGTGTGTTAAGTATATGCTATCTTTTAATTTTTAGGGAGTGTGTGTGATATGTGTATATGTATATATTTGTGTGAGCGTGTGTATATGTGTGAGAACTCAACACCTCTGCAAGCATGTCTGTCTAGTGTGGGTGTATCAAAATCACTTTACGAACTTTGGGGACGGGTTCCTCTCACCAAAGTCCTCCATTTTTAAGACAAATCCCGAACAAAAGACCGATTTGGGACGAAATTCCAATTCAGGCCGAAAATCAAGTTCTTCAAATCACAAACTCTGCAGAACTTCAAAAGCTCATGTCAGGAAACCTTTCACTTTAACTCTTGATTCCTTGGTATTTTGAAGATTTTATAAGCACACATAATTTTGCGTTACTTTAAACTCAATATAAATTAAGAACTTTTAAAATCCCTATTTCTTTTTAAGTTATTTTTAAATTTGAATTAATGTCATTAATTAATTTTAAAATTTGAATTAATTGAATTAAATAATGTCATAGTTTTATTGCATTTTTTTCAGAGCAAATTTTCGATAAATGGTGTTTCTGTTTGACAAAAACAAATTGATGATTGAAATTCTCCAAGGCGTTTAACTAATATAAATACGAAAACACTGGAATTTTAATTTCTCGAAATTTCATAAAATTAAGTGGGTGTTAACAGATGTAAAAAAAAAAAAAAAATTTATTAAGATTTTCTAAAATGAAATTTCTTAAATAATTTCAGTCATTTGTAAATAAATTTTGAAAGTTTCATTAAAATCAGACAATTATTTGATTTTTGTAAGAATTTTTTAAACAATGTGTTTTTTACCTGTAAAAAGAATAAATTTCCCATACTAATCTTTGGCCGACTCGCTGACGCAAGAAGAACAAGATTTTGAACAAAAATTTCGAACGTGCCAGAAAGGATTAAAAAAATGCTCTTTCCATTAATAATAGCATAAACATTTTGACGATAAAACTTTTTTTTCAAGTTTGAGGCCTTTATCATCACGTTACGGCCTTTTTAAGAAAATTTTTGGAGGTACATAGTTGAAAGGACTAATTGAATACAAAGACAGTGACGGATTGTTTGAATGAAGTCAAACAATTATTTTTCCAACGCGACCAGTGGCCTAATTTAGTCTGATGAACACAAAAAGTTTACTCTAGTAAAAACCATAGCGAGTCACACAGGGCGGCATGTGGTTCGCGCGCTTATTTTGTTCAGGCCAACAGTAGACAGACAACTAGACACGTATATTTACACGACATAGCAATGTCAGGTTCACCTGAATAGCACTCGAGGAGAATCGAATTCTTTAACAGTGACTTCAAGACTAATTTTCTAAATATCTACACACACACACACACACACACACGCACACGCACACACACACACACACACACACACACACACACACACACACACACACACACACCCCAATTTAAAGAGAGCAAGGGATAATTATAACAAATCGGACCATGGTAACTTTTTTTCAAATCGTTTTCGCTTCGTCAGACAAGGCTGTTTCCTTTCCGATGAAGTCGAAATGCAAAAAACTTTTTGCATTTTGTCGTACATCTTTCCTCCCAAACTGTCCTTTTAATATATATTTATATATATATATATATATATATATATATATATATATATATATATATATATGAAAAACTATGGAGAAGGAGAATTTTTAACAGTGTTTGGAGGAGCACATATGTTTATATACATCACGAAAGGACTAAGATGAATACTGAAAATCGGTCGAGTGACGGATGAGTTGTGATACAGCGAAAAAGTTGGATATTATGGCACTAAGCAAAGATCAGTAAACAACGACAAATCCATGACAATTATTTTTCAACAATACAACAGACCAGTGGCCTAATTTAGTCTGATGAACACAAACATAGGTTAGAGTCCCTTATTAATGTTTAACTCTATTAGATATCTCTTCACTTTCTAAAAAAGTCCTTTTCCCTGAAAATGACAAAAGTCACACAGGGCCCTTTCCGGTTTTCATCTGACATCATATAAAATATGTTCATCTAACATCGTAGCGCTTATTTTTAACATCGTTCACCATAACATCTAACATCGTAACATATGACATCATAACATCTAACATTGAACATACAACTAACACATCATAACATCTAGTATAACGTTTTTAACATCGTAATATATGACATCATAACAATGTCAGGTTCACCTTTAACATCGAATAGCATCTCGAACATGAGAATTATAACATCTTTAACAGTGACATCATAACATCTAACTGTGACATATGACTAAACATTCTAAACGTATCTACTAACATAATATGACATCATAGCATCTAGCATCATAACGTATGACATCATAACATTTAACATCGTAACATATGCATTATAACATCACACACATCACATTTAACATCACACATCACACACACACACACAAACACACACACAGAGGAAAAAGGAGTTCAAAACATTACAAGAAGAAATATAGAAACGTTTTTTAGTAAAAATATTACAGCAATAAATTTATGAAGAAAAAAATTTTACCAGAAAAAAAGAAAAAAAAAAAAGAAGATTAAATAAACCCAGTGAGGTTGATATGCCGAAAAACAAAAATAAACCAAACCAAACCAATCATAACATATATGGCAGATTTGAATGTAAAAGATTCTAATAGAGATATCCCTTGAGAATTAAATTTCGTCCCTCTGCCACCTCCCCCCAGAAAGTTTGTCATCCACTTGGACAGAGAGAAGCCCTTTTCAAATAGACAAGATGTTAAAGAGTTTGCTCTTCTCCAAGACTCATCGATGCTCACTAGATGATATCCTCAGCGTCCTTTGTAAAATAAGTCTCTTCTCTATCTTTGAGGAGACTGTCCAACATTCGCTAAAAAAAGACTGAGGTCAATAAGTTGTGCTCAGTAAAAAGAAAGGAAAAAAAAAAAGTTTTGAAAAAGAAAAAAAAATATTTTCTTTTTGGGAAAAAAAAAGAAGTAACTTGGCGCAAAAAAAGATAGAGCTTTGTTTGTCAAAAGAACATGATCAGCAAGAAAGATTGAATGGAAAAGAGATGAAAAATTCTGCACACGGGACTGAAAAGAGAAAATGAAAAGATCAAAAAAAGGGTAAA